ACATTCAGAAAGCCAAGAGACATATGAAAACATGCTCAAAGTCACTAATCATCCGAGAGATGCAAATCAAAACAACAATGAGGTACCATCTCACACCTGTCAGACTGGCTATCATCAACAAATCAACAAACGACAAGTGCTGGAGAGGATGTGGAGAAAAAGGAACACTTGTGCACTGCTGGTGGGAATGCAGACTGGTGCAGCCACTATGGAAGACAGTATGGAGTTTCCTTAAAAAACTGAAAATGGAACTCCCATTTGACCCTGTGATCCCACTTCTAGGAATATATCCCAAGAAACCAGAAACACCAATCAGAAAGGATATATGCACCCCTATGTTCATAGCAGCACAATTCACCATAGCTAAGATCTGGAAACAGCCTAAGTGCCCATCAGTAGATGAATGGATTAGAAAACTGTGGTACATCTACACGATGGAATACTATGCTGCTCTAAAAAGGAAGGAACTCTTACCATTTGCAACGTCATGGATGGAACTGGAGAGCATTATGCTAAGTGAAATAAGCCAGTCAATGAAGGAAAAATACCACATGATCTCACTCATTCATGGATAATAGAGACCATTATAAACTTTTGAACAATAATAGATACAGAGGCAGAGCTGCCTCAAACAGATTGTCAAACTGCAGCAGGAAGGCCGGGGAGGGTTGCGGGGCAGGAGGTAGGGGGGTAAGAGATCAACTAAAGGACTTGTATGCATGCATATAAGCATAACCAGTGGACATAAGACATTGGGGGATAGGGGAGGCTAGGGGACTGTCTAGGGCGGGGGGATAAAATGGACACATATGTAATACCCTTTGTAATACTTTAAGCAATAAAAATTAAAAAAAAAAAAAAAAAAAAAGAAAAACATCTGATCACCAAGGGCAGAAACACACACACACACACGCACACACACACCACCTGTTGGCCTCACTGCTTCACTGTGTGGCTCTTGAGTATCTTCCCAGGGGTGGCAAATCAGGCTCCCCTCACTCAAATAAGATAGGGCCTCACCAACCTAGGCCTCCAAACAGGGGAATCTGAAGGCCTCTGGTCAAATTATCTGCACAAGGGTGGGGCTTTCTTATGTCTCAGCTGCACAGGATGAGTCTCAAGCACCATTGCTGCATAGAGTGGAGCCAGGAAGTAGATAAGAGTGGGTAGTCAAGAAAGGGTCAGAGTGAGAGGTACAACTAATTAGAATGTAAAGGAAAGGAACAGGCCATCTTATGACAAAAAAGCCTCCTTTGTTAGAATCCCACAACGATCCCTGTGAGATCTGTTGGAAGGTAACTACTTCGTGAAATTAAACAGTATTTCTATGTATGCCCTCAAGGTTGACCAAGTCTCATTTCCTGACATTTAAACCATATCAGGTAATAAACCAGGCCTTCCCTGGGAAGTCAGGCAAACAATCAAAGATGCCCATCGTCAATCACCACCATCTTTCCTATTTTCCCTCTGGTCTGGTTGGGATACAGGCCTCTTATTCTGTAGGTCCAATCCTTCCTGACAGCCCGGCTTGCCCAGTATGGACACAGGCATGTTGAGAGCACCCACCAGCAGAGGTCCAGTGGACTTTGGCTCTAAAACCATGTTCATAATCACACTATTAAGTCTATTCATCTCAGTCTCCACCTTTTTAAAAAGGAAGAAAGCTGGAGAGCCACACAACAAGTGGTCTCTGCTGTGGCCCCGTCAGGAGAAGCAACTACCCAGTTTGGCCAAAATTTAGTAAGAAAGAGCAGGTATGAAAGCAGTACCAGAATCCCAGCTTCAGACACTCTGCTGGGCCTCTTCCAAAGGCAGTTTTAACACCATCTACCCCTACCTCCTCCCAAGCTTACACTGGGGTGGTGAATATAAAGGGTCCTTCTTTTTCCACATGAGATTTTCCCCAGATCAACTCCTTCTGGTCCAAGGCAAGAATTCCAAGGAGGTGTATATCTTAAGGGTGGTTTTCTGAGAATACCTGACAGTTCATCTTTAAAAAGTAGAGGTGTGCACAAACTGCTTCCATGGCCATTTAGTCTTTATGAAAGTAGTGTGAGCTCCATTTCGCTATCTCCCCATGTTATGCATGTGAACATGTGATTTGCCTCATTTAGTGCTCTGAACAGTTGCACTGTGGAGCGGAAATCAAAAGCTATTCTATTTGCATTTGATTAGGTACTGATTCTATATTTATTGAAAAAATCAAAGAAAACTTGTCTTCTAAAAATTGAAAATCTCAGTACCTAATCAAATGATAATGGAGGTCATTGAGATCCAGTACGATTCAGATTTGAAGGCAAAATTCAGTGAGGTTGGAATGCCTGAATTTACAAATATTTACCTGCCAGGTTTTAAAATACTCAAAAATTCACATATGAAATTATTTCCATGTTTCAAAGTACTTATCTGTGTGAGCAGTTATTTATAATTATGAAAGGAAATAAGTCTTCTGTCAGATCCAGAATTAGTGACATTCACCTTGGGTCAGTTTTGTAAGTAATCACTGCGATCAAGATTTCCCCTGAAGCAGGAAAGACAGTAGCAGAGAAGAGATGCCAAGTGTCATGAAGAAGACATTAATTTTATCATTGCTCTTGTTTTTTTCAAAATAAACCTACGTTTCTATGAAAAAAACAACAACAAACTACTCTAGACCAGTGCTACCCATAGAAACATAAAGTAAGCCACATATGCTAATTTAAATTCTCTAGTAGCTTCATTAAAATTTAAAAGAAATAGGTGAATTAACTTTAATAATATACTTTATCTAGCACATTATAGATGTTTTCTTTTCATGCTAAATCTCTGAAACCCATATATCTATTATGTTTACAGCACATCTCAATATAGCCTATACAAATACTCAAGTACATGTCAAATGCTTAATAACCACGTGTGGCCACTGGTTACCACATCGGACAGCCCAGTTCTAGACCAGTGGTTCTCAAGGTGTGGTACCCAGACCAGCAGCAGCAGCAGCATCACCAGGGAACTGTTAGAAGTGCAAATTCTTGAGCCCCATTCCAAACCTACGAAACCAGACCCTCTGGAGGTGGGACCCTCCAGGCTATGTTTTAACAAGTCCCATGTGGTCATTCTGATACACACTAAGGTTTGATAATTGCATTCAGAAACACTTGGCTAGCCATGGCAGGCTAGCACTGAAGAAGAGGAGTCTCTTCTTTTTAAACAATTCTCTTCTGTGGAAATCTGCTAGTCCTAGTTTTGGTTCCATTTCTTGGAACTATGGAATGAATTACCAACACATAATTTCACTTATCATTTTATTTAAGGAGAAAACAAAACACAGTAACTACCCTATGCTATCACCTTAAGTTCAGTTACTAACTTCTCTTGTCCTCGGTTTCCTCATCTGTAAAATAGGGATCCTTTAATATGTTAGCGACTTTTTAAAAAGTACTGCGTACAAAAAAAGACTCAGCAAAAGTGACTGATATTTTTAAACTACAGTTAAAAATTTGTGGGCAGGAAAGGCAATGTTACAGATATTGAGCACAGACAGAAGCCAATTCACTTATATTTCTCAGGACATTAGATTTGCTGGGGGTGAGGGTGGGGGAGAAGGGTTCTTGCCAAAATCATTAAGGAGAATGAATCTGAGCATGCCTTAAAGCAGAACTTTCAGTAAACAGGAATTACCTATGAAGAAAATCAGGAAGCCAAAGCGTTTCTTTGTATGAAGTTACATCCTGCCATAGAAAAGCTGGATAGGAAATAAAGACTGATGCACTCCCAAATGTATGCAAAACTAGCTATTATTCCATCAAGGAAAATCTGAGCCAAAGCTCAGATTCAGTGAAGGGGAAAAAAACGTAAGAAGACATGAGAAGCCAAAGACAACCAATGGCTGCAATTAAACATGATTCAGAAAAAACTATACAAACAAATCTCCACTCAATGTTACAGATTCCTTAATCAATGCCTGTCTTCTCCGCCTTCTCCCCCCATTTCAATACTAATTCCTCCAGACTTTTTGCTTGAAAATAAATATGTGTGTGTGTCCACGAAAATAAGAGACTAATAAATTAACCCTAATTCCCCCCTTCTCGTTCTTGTTATTAATCATATTAATTGTGCGTTCCCAAGGTTCTCTTCGCTTTTTCAGGGTTCTGTGATGAGATTCCACCTTGTACTGTACGCTTCAGTTTGATCAGAGAAAACACTTTCACCAGCCTAATACTTCCCCAATTTATCCTTCCACCTTCAAATAAAGACACCAGAAAGGCAAGCGAGCCCTTCCTCAGGCAGAGTCCTATGGCTTGAGGGAATGGCAGATGTCTCTCTGCAGTGACAACTGCAACCTTCCGCAAAGCAGAAACTGCAGTTCACACTCGCCCCTCCTTCTCCCGCCCCAACTCCCTAGCTCGCAAGTCCACACAACCCTGAGGAACACACACACACAACTCCAGCCTCGCGTCTCTCCCCAAACACTCAATAAGCCAGGATGCCGGCTGCCACATAACGCTCTACCCACTCGGTGGCCCCACCCACTTCAGTACCGCCCCCGCCCCAGCACCAATGGGCGCCGCGCGAGGCTCCCGAGGGGCCCGTGGATAGGGTAGCGCTGCCTGCCACTCTGGGGGTGTGTCCCGCCCCCTTCTCACAGGGCTGAGGCTGGAGGGGCAGGCGCATCCAGCGCGAGTAGCTGGGAGCAGCCGCAGCAGCGGCAGCGCGTCGTTGCAGTCGCGCCATCTGTCAGAGCTGAGCCGGCGGGGAGGGGGCTGCCGCGGGTGAGGAGGAGGGGTCGTCGGGAGCCGAAGATCGTCGAGACCCGCCCGCCGGCCGGCCGCGGGAACGGAAGCGAAGCTGCCCTCGGAACCGCGCGTCCTTCGCCGTCCCGGCGCGCGGCGCTTCACCCCGCGCTCCGAGGGCTCCCCGGGCGCACACAAAGCCGCCGCCCGCACCGCACCACCCGGCGGCCGCCGGCCGCGCCTGGGAAGGATCCGGCCTCCGGGCCGGGGAGACCCGGCGCCGCCCCCCTCAGCGCCCTCGGCAGGCCCACCGGCTCCCGAGCCCTCCGCAGCCACCGGATCCTCAGGAGCCGCCGCGGCCGCGCTGGAGGAGGGCGGGGAGCGGACCATGTGAATGGGCTCCGGAGCCTGAGTGCCGCACAGGTGAGCGTCCGGGGATGGCCGCGGGGATGCTCCGGGGACCCGGCCGCCGGCGCCCCGCGCAGCGCTGCCCCCGCGGCGGGGCCCCGCGCTCAGGTCTCCTGGCCGCCGCCGGGTCCTGCGCGCCCTGCGGGGCTCGGGGAGTTGGCCCCGCTCTCGGTCTTCCCGCTGCCGAGCGGGAGGCGGGCGCTGCGCCTTCGGTAGCGCAGGAAGGGGAGCCCATTTTCCCGTCCGCGAGCGCGAGCGGGGCGAGAATGGGAATCGGCTTCGGGGCGAGGCTGGCCCAGACTCCGCCCCCGCCCTCCTTTCGGGGGCCCCCCGCGGGGACCCGGGCTGTGTGTGTTGTTTTAATGTCAGGGATGATGTAATCACTTAATAATTGATGCCCCGCGCTGCTTCCCTCGCCACCCCACCCCTGCCCCACTCCTCCACCTTTCGGCCTCCTCCTCCCTGGGCCGGCGCCTTCCCCAGCGCATCCTCCTGCCTATTTCTGGCACCTCCCTTGCACTTCCCCCATCCTCCCCTCCACTCTTCCTGTGCCGCCACCCACCCACCACCCTTCCCCTGTCCCCAGTGCCGGAGCCTTCGCTCCTCTTCCTCCGCTCCCCACTCTTGCTCCCCCAAGCTCCTTCCTCCTCCCTTCCCTGCTCGATGGATTTCCTCTCTACTTCCCTAGGTCGATGATTGTTTTTATTTGGTCACCTCCCCTCTCTTATCTCTTCGGCCACAGGCGGAGGGGACTGGGCCAGAAAGAGGCCACAGGGCTTGGGCCCAGGCGGAGATTTGCTGGGACTCAGTGAGAAGAGGGATAATAAAGTCACCCTTCTTGTCCCTCCTCCCCCAATAAATCACGCAGACTGTGTGTGTGTGTGTGTGTGTGTGTGTGTGTGTGTGTGTGTGTGACACACAAAGAGCTCTTTCAGTGCCCAGAGAAGAGACGCACAAAGTACCCAAGGATGGGCGCAATGCTTCTTCTTTCTCTTGCTTGGGGCTTCCCTTTCTCTCAGATAAAGCAGTCTTTCCTGCCACATTTACCAAAAAAAATAAATGGCCCCAGATGCAGGGTAGCAGGTGCTAGCATTTTGCTGTAATCCTGGACTGGCAGTGTTGATGGGCAGCTGCAGTTATTTCTGAGATTCAAGGGGGAAATGATTCCAGCCATCTTAAGAGTTGTTTTACTTTCAAGGTAGCCCTCCCTACCCATTTTAACCCCGTCTCTTTAGGCGCTAAGAGCTGAAGTGGGATAAATTAATGTGGGGGCAGAAAATGTTGTTACTGAATCAGAGAATTAAATTGGTGTTTGATAGGAGGGGAGCAGCCTGACTTGCTGCTGCTTCTCCAGTCTACAGAGTGCTGAAACTGAAGTCTTTTGAAATGAAATCTTGTCTTCCCAGTGTTTTTTGCTTTGCCCTTATATTAAAACAAGTTCTTGGGGCATTGATAACAGCATTGAATTGGTATTTGGAAAACCACTAGAAACTGTCTCTTATCTCGAGGTAGCCTTCAGAGGCCCACATCCTTCCTCTCCACCCAGGTGACTGCAATACTTTCCACCCTTCCTGTTCTCTTTCTCCTGATCTCTGCCCCATGGGTACTGTGAGGAAGGGATTCACAGACTTTTGGAGGAAGTGGTTTGTTACTATCTCAAGGTTTTGGAGGCACTTAGCTATGAGCAAAGGATGTAAAGAATCTTTTGGCTGAACCTTGAACCATCTGCTTGATGTTCCTCTTAGAGAGGAAATTGTTAATGTAAATCTGGGGGCTTGGTGTTACATTTTGTAAGCCAGTAACTATTACATGCTTAATTGATAACCTCAAAATGTAGGTTGAAACCAGTGATTCCTACGAGCATGTTTCTTAAACTGTTTTAAGTAATAGAACTATCTCGTTTGCTCTTCAAGGATTTTATTAGAAAAAGGTTAAGATTAATATTAAACATTTATTTCTGCATTTTCTAAGGACATTCACTGTGGAACTTTTTATATTAAAAAAAAGCAATAGGGTTAATGAGTGTACTAGAAAAACAAAGAGTTGTTTGTTTGATGCCAGACCCAAGAAGGAAGGTCAGTGCACAGTAAATATGCATTCTGTTGACCAAGTTAGAGAGACTTCATGATAAGGCTGAATGTGAACAAATCTACATTCAGCTTTCTGTGCCTTTACTCTGTGCTTTCTTCTGGGTATGGAATCTCCAACCCCATCTGATTTGCCTGGGTACCATTTAACCTTTAGAAGTCATCTCCTCTGTGAAGCTTTCTCCATCCTTTCTCCTCCAAAACACATCATGCTTCCAGTTTTGTTCTCAAACTTCAGTAGCAGACATTATGTTTGGCATGTGTCTGTTTCCATCATTAGTTGAGAGAAGGGACCTGGTCTTATTTATCTTTTCTCAACAAATGTGAGTTAGGTCTTTGATATGTGCTAGACATCTGGATTAATTAGGCTAATTTTAGTAGCTGTAACAAGTAGACCTGCAAAAATATAATGGCTCAACAGCAATAGATATTTATTATTCTTCATGTAATAGTCCAAAATGGGTGTTTGTGGTCGATGGGTGACTTTCTTCCAGGTAGTGATTCTGGGATCCATGTTGTACCATCTCATAGTGCTCCATTGTAACCTGCTTTCAGCTGGCAGAAAATAAAACAGGGAGTGGAGAGGGTGCACCCACTTTTTAAATACCTTGGTCTGGAAATGACACCCATCACTTCTACATACATTCTTTACATGAGGGCTAGTTCTGTGGCCACGTTTACCTGCAAGGGAGCCTGGGAAATATAGGTTAGCCATGTGAGTAGATGAAAGATCAAGAAGAAATGTATTTTTGGCCAGAAGCTTTGCCATATGCTGCCACTCAACAAGACATAGTCATGGCCCTCAAGGAGTTTGTAGGCTGATGACAAATTAATTGGAAACCTGGAGTCTATACCCATCATTGCTTTTGTTCTTTTGGTTTTAGAAGCTCAGATCATTTCATTTTGAACATGTTTCAAAACACTTTGCTTTTTGTCAGTTCAAGTGGCCAGTTTCCTTACAACAACCCCTTGTAATACACTGATGTGACAGCTCCTGTGTTGCCTTTGATATTTCATTTTTATTTTTTACTTCAGTAGCACCTTTCTTGGCCTAGTTTTTTATCTACTCATTTTAGAGACTCCCAAAGGGCCTGGGGCGGGGGGCAGTCCTTAGAAATCAGAGTCCTACCTTCTGTTAATTGAGAGAGGAAATTAAGCAGACTCCAAAGGAGAAACTTCTTGCCCCACGTCATGCTAATGGGAAGGGAGCCTCAGTCAGTCTAGCTCTTCAGTCCCACCTGAGTCCCTTCTGTCATACAGCTACCCTGACTATGTGACTGTGAGCCTTGTGTATTCCAAGGAGGCTAAGTGAGCTTCCAGACCTCCAGGAGCAGGGTGATCTGCTAATGTTCTACATAGTAGAGTCCCTGTTCTCCACAGGCCTCCAAATTATTGGAGCAATTCAGTCTATACTAGTCATCATACTTAATAATGTACATATTTTTGCTATGAACAGTTCATTATTTTCACCTGTTCAGCAAACATTAGGCCAGTATGTTATTGTGTGCAAGGCACTGGGAGATAAGGCCTTGAAAATGAATACATCTGCTGTCCTTGCTCTTCAGGAGCTCACAGTCTACTAGAGGAGATAAAAATGATTGATAATAGCTAACTTTTACTGAGCAGTTGCTATTGTCAAGCACTGTTTAAATTCTAGTCCTAACAATAATGATGTGAAGTAGTTTCATATATAATCCCCATTTTACAGATGGAAAATTGAAGCAAGGAAAGTTAAGTAACTAACTCAAGATCAAATAGCCAGTAAGTGGTAGAGTCAGGATTCAGGCCTAATTAGTTTGGTTTCAAAGCCCTTGCTCTTAGCTGCTAGGCAATATGCAAAATACTATATATGGATGTAATGATGATATTAATTAAATGTGTTACATGCCATAAGGGGTGGAGAGGGGTGTAAATGCTTTGGAAATTAATACTCTGGTTGGGAATAGGACTTTATATTTCAACTAGAGGCCTGGTGCACAAAAATTTGTGCACTCAGGGGGGTCTCTCAGCCCGGCCTGTGCCCTGTCACAGTCTGGGACCCCTCGGGGGATGTCCACTTGCCAGCAGGGAGCAGGCCTAAGCTGCAGTTGGACATCCTTAGCACTGCTAAGGAGGCGGGTAAGGCTCCCGCCACCACCGCCTTGCTGGCAGACATCAGCCTGGCTTGTGGCTGAGCAGAGCTACCCCTGTGGGAGCGCACTGACCACCAGGGGGCATCTCCTGCATTGAGCGTCTGCCCCCTGGTGGTCAGTGTGTGTCATAGTGACCAGTCATTCCCAGTCGTTCTGCGGTTAGGTTCAATTTGCATATTACCCTTTTATTATATAGGATAGAGGCCTGGTGCATGGGTGGGGGCCGGCTGGTTTGTCCTTAAGGGTGTCCCGGATCAGGGTGAGGGTCCCACTGGGGTGCCTGGACAGCTTGGGTAAGGGGCTGATGGCTGTTTGCAGGCTGGCCACAGCCCCTTCAGGGTGGGTGGGTCCCACTGGGGTGCCTGGCCAGCCTGGGTGAGGGCCGTTTTTAGGCTGGCCACACCCCCTTTAGGGTGGGGGTTCCCACTGGGGTGCCTGGCCAGCCTGGGTGAGAGGCTGATGGCTGTTTTCAGGCTGGCCAAGCCCCCCAGTGGGGACACTCACCCCATGGGGGTGTGGCCAGCCTGGGTGAGGGGCCATGGGCCATTTTTAGGCTGCCCACATCCCCTTCAGCATGGGGGTCCCCACTGGGGTGCCTTGCTAACCTGGGTGAGGGGCTGATGGCCATTTTTAGGTTGGCCACGCCCCCCGGCCACCCACGTTCGCAGCCTCTCCTTTTTTTTCTTTTTTCTGGGATTTATTTATCTTCTATAATTGAAACTTTGTAGCCTTGAGCAGAACCCGGGGCCAGCCAGGGAAGGTGGGAAGGCTTCCTCCATCTCCAGGGGCAACCCAA